GGTGGGGGGTGGGGCTGGTCTTTCTGCCCCACCTCGCCCATCTACCTGTCATTGAGTTGTTCACCTCTGAGCTAAAACCTAATGGTTCTGACTCAGACCCCACCCCTACCCAACAGACACAAAAAAATCTTTCTGAAATGAGTATGTATCTTTTTTCCAGATGAGGTAGACCAGCTATTTCCACATCTCCTAAAAATTATAGAGTTCCAGACACTCTCCTTGTCCCCGCCCTCCTTGAGGCCCCATCCTCAACCCCGGCTGCCCTGCCCCCACCAGGAGCTGGGGAACAAGCTGTTCTCACATCCTCTGCTGGCGCCTGTGACACACCAACTTCCAACACTCCACAACTCACACGCGCACGTGCCAGCCCTCCGTCTCGCCCGAACTGTGCCCTGCTCGTCCCTTCCCCGCCTTGCCCCAGTTTTCAGTGTCCTCTGCCTCATCCCCCCGCCCCCCGTCTCCCGCAGGCCCCCCTCACGGGGCCTCCAGTCTCTCCCTCCTGCCCCATCTCTGGCTCTCTCCTCACCCAAGCTGTCTGAACCCTTTCATTCCTTTGGCTCTCTCCAGATTTTTCTATTGTCCCCTTAAATACTTTGTGCCCTTCTCTCCCCTGAAACCTCATCTCGTGTCCTTGTCCTGAGACTTTGTCTCTGGCTCTTACTTTCTCTCTCTCCAAACGTGCTTCTCCTCTTACTTTCTCTGTCCTGATTTATGCACTCTGGTCACCCAAGCTGTCTGAACCCTTTCATTCCTTTGGCTCTCTCCAGATTTTTCTATTGTCCCCTTAAATACTTTGTGCCCTTCTCTCCCCTGAAACCTCATCTCGTGTCCTTGTCCTGAGACTTTGTCTCTGGCTCTTACTTTCTCTCTCTCCAAACGTGCTTCCCCTCTTACTTTCTCTGTCCTGATTTATATACTCTGGTTCTCTGCCTCCCTCTCTGCCTCTCTCCAAATCACCGTCTCCCTCCTCCTCTCTCTCCAATGTCTGTGCCGTCTTTTATTAATATTTCCTCTCTTCCACTAAATCTCCATCTCTCTTCTGTCCTCTTCCCCCATAATTCCTGTGGCTCTCCTCATCTACATCTCTCTCCAGATCTTTTGCTGTCTTTCTTTTTCTGATTCTCTATAAATTCGTGACTGTCTCTCTCTCCTGATCTGTGTCCTGGTCCCCTCTTCCTCACTCCACCTCATCCAAACCCCAGCCTCTCAACTAATGTCCCTGAGTCCCTAGCTCTCTCTCCTCTGCCCCTTCACCGCTGCTCTTGGGGGGATGGGGAGCCCCAGGTGATGTCCTCGCCTAGGATGAGGTGCTGTTGGCACCCCACCCCCTACCCCAGCCCAGGAGGGCCTGGCTGTCTTCATCTTTCTATCCCTTCCCTTCCCCCAGCCCCCAGTTCCCCGCCTCCCTCCTCTCAGCTTTCCACTGCAGCTGCAGCAGTCCGTTGCCAGGGCAACCACAGCTGGCTGGGCGGGAGCCCCCTCCACCCCATCCCCCCCTCTTCTTTCCGCCAAGGCAGGGAGGAGGTGGGACAAAGCCAGAGAAAGGCGAGGTGCAGGGGGAGATGAAGGTAGGGCCGGCTTCGGCTGTTAACCTCAGTTGCTTCTCCCCCAACCAGGCCCCGTCTCCCCTTCTCGGTGATGCCCCAAACCAGCCTGGAGAAGGAGGCAGTCGTGGCAGAGGGATCAGGCCCAGTTTAATACACAGAACAAGTTAATTCACAGCAGAGGCAGGCAATAAAGGAGACTCGTTTACAAGAGGGGGGCATGCCTGGATTGGGGGATACCCCCCAACGCCACCACCTCACCCACTTGCAGTCTCAATTTCCCTTTTTTGAACCCGAACAACAAACACACACAACCACGAGAAACAATCACACCCCCTCGTCCCCCTAAAATTGTCAGCGAGGGGGCAGGGGGCAGCCCGGCCTGGCCGGCGGGGGTCAGGGCAGGGGAGGAGGAAATGCTAGTCCATTGCAGAGTCTGTGCTTCTCATCCCAGCGGGCGCTGGGCAGGGGCCTGCCTGCCCCACCGGCGAGGTGACGCCGAGGCCTTGGCAGGCACGGAGAGGGCAGGGTGGGGCTCTCGGGGAGGGGGCAGGAACAGAGTTCAAAACCATGGTTCACATCATGCAGTATCCACGGTGGGCACCAAGAGGGGGCGAGGGGTGGACGCCACACCCGCCTGCCCCGGGTGTGAGGGGGGAGTGGTGCCCACCTGGGGTGGGGAGGTGGGACAGCTGCAGTTCCAGAAACTGGGGGGAGGGGCTGCCAGGCAGGAAGCTGGCATAGACTGGTGGCCAGTGGATGTGCCCAGCAGTGCCCCCTCCACCCAGCCAGGCCTTATAGGACTCTTTGTATATATTAATTTTTTCTTTTTTTTTTTAACTTTTTGACTTTTTCTTTAGAAAAAGGCTGGGTCCGTGCTCTGGGCTGGCATCCCTCGTGCCCGCCTAGAGGCGGGGTATGGCTTTGAGGGGAGCAGAAGCCCCTGGTGCCCATTTGCCTAGGGATAGGGAGGGAGGAAGGAAGGGAGAGGGGCCCTGCCAAGCCCCCCAACCCACAGGGCAAACATTCCACTGGCACAGAGGGAAGGGGGTGGCCCAGCCCCCCTCGGGCTTCCCCTTCCCCTCCCACTGTGGGGCATTAAGAGCGGGGAGAGAGCAGAGGTGCTCCGATGGGCAGGTGGGCAAGCACCACCCCAGAGGTCCAGGTGAGCCAGAGCCAGGCCTAGGTGAGGGTGATGTACGCAGAGGCCTTCTCTTTCAGGTGCCGAAGACAGAGGTGACAACTCCAGCTCCCTGTGGGGGCGGCCAGAGGACAGGAGTTGGGTGCAGATCCGGGAAGGGCTACCCGACCCCTCCCATCCGAGGGCACAGTCTTCGTCAG